AAGTTGTGGTAGACTGAGCGGTTGTCAATATTAAAGCCGTCAAAAACACATTTGCATATGAATTCTCCTGAGGTTCACTTACCTGAACAGCCGATGTTTGCCGGTAAACTTGAACAGACTTGGCGTCACTCTGTGTTGCAGGTTGCACGGCGCACACGGACTGTGAGGCGATGCGCCGCATCCCGACTCGAGTTTACGAATCCTACTATGGCGATGGATACTGGAGTATTATTCATGACACAAGCCTTCGCCATTGGCAAGCTACTAAACAACGTCAACCTAAACTAATTAATATTCACCACTGGCATTTCGCCATTGGAGAGTTAACTAGAACGTCAGCGTGGTATCATTAATATTCACGAAGTGCTCCTTCGCTATTGGATGGCAGCCACACGACGTCAGCACGGCGTGAGTAATATTCATAAACAGAAACGTCGCCATAGTATTTATATAGAATTCGTAATTTCGCGTTAGAAATCATCACGCATGCTCATCCCGATACCTCAGGGGCAGCGCTACCTGAGAGCACATACTGTATGCCCTACTTTCACTGTCTGTACACTGCCTTCCTCTCAATCTTCCTATGGGAAGCAATCATTTTGCAATTATATGCCAATAAATAAATAATAATAATAAACTGTTTGTATTGGGATATTGCTATGCCTTTACTATTTAATACCATCCTAACAAAATTAAACAAAACGTAAGATAAAGTGATCAAAGAAAATAACTAATAAATATTATACAACTAAAGTCTTAAAAATAATAAATAAATAAATAAATACACTACCCTTTTTGTGAACTGATCTCTCTTTCTCCATGGAAGGACAACTGGGAATGTTATCCTGGGCCCATCCATAACAATTGTCCTGGTTACATGAATTTAAGCAATGGTCCTGGGAATGATATATGAAGTTTCAGATTTAAAATAAGAATTTATCAAAATTTTGCTCCATTTTACAGGATGGAAAGATCTGGATAGAGGAACCATCTTTGAACATCTGCAACCCAAGAATTCCCTAATAAAACCAATGGCTCTCATTCTTTAAGCCGGGGCAGCTTGAGTCAAGTTGGACTTCAGTAAACAAGGTTTGAATGAAGTTTAAGATGTCTGCTGTGGCGAGACGGTCTGCCAGAACGTATAGACCCCTAATTGCATGCTACAGTACTAGTGATCTACAAAAATTCTATTTTAGAATTTAAAAACAGGGTATGAGGAAAATCCGTGTATCATTCGATCATTCGTTTTTTGATTTAATATTGAAAGTAGAAAAATGAGAAAACGGCTCCTTTTTCGCTGCAGAAAGGGGTGTTTAATTCCCGCCCACATGTAGAAATCGAATATTCAAGCTGTTTATTCATTTTTCCACCCATGAACGAAAAACGAAAATTTAAGCTGAATTTTCGTTTTTCGGAAAAAAATGAAAAAGGAGCCGTTTTCTCATTTTTCTACTTTCAATATTAAATCAAAAAACGAATGATCGAATGATACACGGATTGAGGAAACACCCACACTGAACTCCACCCGTTCATTCACTTCCTGTGGTGACGCTGGGCAGAGCTGCCATTCATAGAGATATTTTCTTTCCAGGCATTCACAGTACTGCCCATTCTCACTGACAGCATGAGTATGAAATACACGGGCCACGTTTTTCAGCGGGATGTCTGTAGCAGCAGGAGGGAGATGAGAGTGGTAGGTGTAAATACATTTTTCCATTAATAATCCTAAATAAAAACATGCATGCACAGACATTAAAGGAAGAGTTCACCCAAAAATGAAAAATTGCTGACAATTTACTCACCCTCAGGTCATCCAATATGTAGATGAGTTTGGGTTTTTCAACAGATTTGGAGAAATTCGACATTGCTCACCAATGGATCCTCTGCAGTGAATGGGTGCCGTCAGAATGAGAGTCCAAACAGCTGATAAAAAAATCACAATAATTCACACCACTCCAGTCTATCAATGAACATCTTGTAAAGGAAAAAGCTGTGTGTGTGTTTGTAAGAAACAAATCCATCAAGAGGTTTTAACATTTAGCCAACATATTTGTTTAGAACTCTCTTGGACTGTTTTTGCTTGTAAATAGTGCTTGATCTGTGCATATTCCTCTCCTGATTCAGACAATATGGCTTTTAACAATATTATAGATAGGACTCATAGCATATTAGCCAGAAGCAGTGGTTTGAAGTTAAAAAGCATCTGGACAGATGGACTGGAGTCATGTGGATTATTGTGATGTTTTTATCAACTGTTTGGACTCTCATTCTGAGGGCACCCATTCACTGCAGAGGATCCAGCAAGTGAGCAATTGAAATAATGCTAAATTTCTCCAAATCTGTTGCTCCAATAAAGCAACAAACTCATCTACTGTACATCTTAGATGGCCTGAGGGTGACTAAATTTTTACGTTTTTGAGTGAACTATTCCTTTAATAGACATGGATGCATGAATCTTACACTATCAAGTCTATCTCGTGAGTCCCAGGATTGAGTCAGGTCTGATGAAAGCTGCTATTCCCACATCTCTAAATGTACTCAACTATCTCATCTCATTTCACAACCTATAATAACCACAAAAATGCATTTATGTATAAATGCTGACTTAACTGACACCAACAGAAGAAGATCAGATGCATATATGCACAAAAACCAAACGTTCTGCAATAAAGACCACATGGAGCAAAAGTGAATCTTGAGTCAGGTGTGCAAATTGGCAGTTAGCTGTGAATGGAAGGGGTCTGCTTACAAAAATGTCTCGTGATACCAAAGTGCAAAATTCCTGCAGAGATGCTGGTGACGAAGAATGAGCTTTTCCAGAAGTGACTCTGACAGTGTGGTGTCGAAGGAGTTGGAAATAACAGGTCTATCTCTTGCTCCACTGATAATGAAACAGGCAAGCTTTTCCCTCCAGAGCACTCTTCCGCTTCTCTTGTAGAGAGAATCAAGTTCTTGTACTCTGACACTGTCAAGAGCCTGTCTCAAGAAACTTCAAACTTCACTCTCAGAAACTGATGATAAACAAGACATTTAAGTGCAGAAACAAGAAAGTCATTAGTTATTAATGTCATAGAGCTACTTGAGTATGCTGATTGTTATTCTCTTTTAAAAACAGATATGACTCAAAAAAAAAAATCTCACAAGATGATGTCTGGGGCATATTTCTACCAAAAATCAAAAGAAAGATACACTGAACAAAATTATAAACGCAACACTTTTGTTTTTGCCCCCATTTTTCATGAGCTGAACTCAAAGATCTAAGACTTTTTCTATGTACACAAAAGGCCTATTTCTCTCAAATACTGTTTAGACAGATTTGTGAACAATATTTGAGAGAAATAGGCCTTTTGAGTACATGAAAAAGTCTTAGATCTTTGAGTTCAGCTCATGAAAAATGGGGGCAAAAACAAGTGTTGCGTTTATAATTTTGTTCAGTGTATAAGAAAATATAATTTACTTAGAGAAAACAAAGCTTGTTTTACATCCTTTATTATTATTATAAATTACATTTATTTTATGAAAATTAAGCACACTCATCACCATAATGTCCAAAAAAATCATCAATACTTTTATTTTATATATTGATGTATCAAAATTGCATTACTGCAATAACAATTAATTTTTAATTTTTTTTTATTTTACAATAATTGAGAACTGAGTGGAATGTGCCTTTATTAATTTGTAATGAAAAATTAAAAATAAAAACTTAAGTCCTAAAAACAGTTTTATTTGAATGCAGTAATATACATAATATAAAAATTTATTTATTATATACATTATATTATAAATATATAAATTATAAACTATAAATGATTAATAAAAACTATATATATAAATATACAAAATATAGTGTATAATTAAATTCACTATATATTCATGTACCGTATATACAGTAGTCAACATTTGAAGTGGATCAAAAAAGTTGTCCTAAGATAAGAACGGGTATTGTTTTGGTTTTAGGACAACTTTGATGAAAGGTTTTGATCCATTTCAAATGTTTACTGTATACTACATAAATATAATATATATATATTGTATATATGGGGAAAAGTAAAAGTAACCTGAATGTTTTGTATCATACATCATACAGCAAACCTGGGATTCTTCCTCTCTGAAATGACTGGCAGCTCTCTATTGATGACCTTTAATTCATATGCGTTTCGCTGCTTTACAATCCCAGAGGGCTTGTCCTGCATCCCATTAACATTGGCTACAAAGAAAAGGGCTGTTTCTATATCGGGCTTCACTTATGCAGTCTAGGCTCAGTTACCCCTGAAGGTCACGGCAGATGTGAATCCTATAAGGCAGCACGGCAGAAATCAGCAAAAGCAAAGTAGCTTCTCGTCCAATGCCGGCGTGCTGTTTGAAACACTGCGATGAAATTTCAGTGCATCTGAAATGAGATGTGACAGAATTCGCATGTGGCGCGTTACACTAGGCGCAACACCGAACAGATTGTGTACCACAGAAATGTTACTTGATTAAGCTCTAACACTGACATGAGCTACGAACTGAGATAGAAAAGCTATCGAGACATAAACCCCCCTTTTTTTATATTAACTGTAAAATGAAAATCAGAACAGTTAGGGGTGGGTGAAATACTGAAACATGCATATCTTGATAACCATCATTAAATGGGTACCAAGATATGACATTTTTCATTCAAAAGCAGTATTTTATTTATATAAACATTGCCAAGTGAATCTGCAAATTGAATCATTTTGAAACTGACAAAAGAATCAACCTTCGAAATTACCACCAATATTTGCTTAGGGACGCACTGATATTAAAAATGTAATATCAAAAAGCTGATTATCAAAAATATTAAGTGGCACAACTGCTTTCAACATTGATAAGAAATGTTTCTTAATCAGCATTTTAGAATAATTTCTGAAGGATCATGTGACACTGAAAATTCAGCTTTGCATCACAGGAATAACAAAATTACTGTTTTTATTGTATTTTTGAGCAAAAAAAAAAAAAATCTTACTGACCCGAAAACTTTTGAACAGACGTTTATATCTCTTATATTGCTAGCAAAATCATCACAATACATCTTTAATATTTTTCCTAACTAGTTTGAATCAACTGTGGCTTTAATAATCACAGTGAACCTTTTAAATGTATAGCAAATGTCATCTTTAATCTTGCTTTTCCCAATTACTTCCAAAACAACAGCAAAAATACTGTTGGGCAAGTATACATAAAATACAAAATGTCCCCAACAATATGAACACAGCCTCGTTTAACTGCTAAAATTGTTTCAGGAACACCTTACACAGCATCAGTGCGTGTACGGTACATTTCCACACGAGTCCTTTTAACAACAGCTCAAAAATCATTATGTTTTACTTTATAACAACACAGAGGCTAAGCAAAAGCACAAGGGTGAAAGCCACAGTGAACGAGGAACGGCTCAAAACTGGTACGATATCATGATCTTATTCTGTCTATCTGTGTCTCCTCGGTGAGCTATCCCTGCTCCTCTCGTCTTTCCTCCTGGACTCTTTGTCTCTGTCAGAATGCCTGTTCTCTTTGTCCACCCTCTCCAAGCCGTTCTTGTCCGAGTCCCTGGAGTCGATCTCTTTGCGGCTCCTCTCTCGTGACTTTGACCTGTCCCGGCTCCGCCGCAGAGGCTCCTTCTCTCTGCTTCTGTGTCTATCTTTGTCCTTGTCCGCTCGGGAGTTTTTGCCGTCGTCCTTGTGCCTTCGTGAATCCGGCTGTCGGTCCTCGTGGTCCGGAGCGTGCCTGTGGTGCTGCTGCTCTTTATGTCCTCTTCCACGCTCAGGTTCTCCTCGCTGTCGAGCAGGGGGCGACTCGTCCTCATGTCCCTGGCGGCGAGAATCTCTGTGGTGCTTGTCGGATCCGCGGCGGTCCTCGTTGCTGCCGTCTTGCCGCCGGTTCTCGTGTCTCTTGCTGGGCCGGTCCTCCAGAGGAGATGGCTGGTTTGCTGCCTTGCTGGACCTCTTCTTTTCCTTGTTCTTGTCCTTCTTGCCCAAGGCCTTCTTATGCTTTGAGTCTGTGAAGGGAAAGAAGAATTTCGTAAGTATTCGGAGGAACCAAACATAAATCTGGAATTCTGGTTCTGATTGCACTTTTGCAATTATACCTTATACCTTAGAAGCCATTCACAAAGAACTCATTCTTCCATTCTAATGCACTATTTTTCTATTGTTTTTCTATGTAAACATGCACTAGACAAGACGTGTATGACCGTTGCGCTCATATCATGCGTCTTTTTCAGTGTCTTGCACATGAGTGCCGCATTCTTAAAGGGGTCCTATTATGCTTTTTCACTTTTTTAATTTTAGTCCGTGTGTAGTGATTACAAATAATTCCCGCCTACAGAAATTCGAATGGTTGGGGGGTGGCAGCGAACCAAACACAACGCATTTTGTTTTTCGGAAGGCGGACCTTCATCAAAGCCGGAACTAATAGAGCCGTTTGTGCCAGGCTGGGGAGAAAGGTATTTTCATAATGTAAATTATGTGAAAAATAATGCGTTTTTCGAACCACCAAGCATGAGAGCATGTTCTAGTACACCCCCAAAACAAAATCAAGACTTTGTAAAAGAGCATAATAGGACCCCTTTTAAGACGCTGTGTCAAGTTAAACGAATTTCAACTTTTACATGCAGCAGTACTCATCAATGTCTGTTCCAAATCAACGGACCAATCAGAAGACCCGGAGGCGGGGCAAGCGTTGCAGGCTTTTGTTTATAGTAGCAAGCTGGCATGGCAATTGCCCCTTTGCAAAAGCCTGCCCTCCTTAGTTACTGTTGCTATGTCCGACAAGCTATGCCTTTCTCACACTACACGTTCTCACATAGTAAAAAATACATTGTGGAGCAAAGAGGAAATGAACAACACACCGACAGACAAGACAGAGCAGGTTACTTTAGATATGAAACAAGGTCTCAGCTTTTGAATTTTGCCATTTTTTTAAGGAATTCAAACAATAAATACCGTTTTGTGGCTCTTTAATGTGTTGTGACAGATCACTGTATTGCCTTAATAGTCCAAGCGGCACATGTGAACCGATCGTCTTTTCGTATTTACTTAAAGCACGAAAAAAACAAGAATGAACATCAGAACGTATTTTATTTCAACCGCAGAAAGACGTCAATACACAGAATTTTTCAAGTTTAAGTCCACCGAAGTTGATCTACTCTCCTGTCTGATTTGTCACGATGCAACTTTAATAGTGACAGATCTTTTCCTCAATATTTTCCATTTCTGATTCCACTTGCGATTCCGCACTAGTCTTAAAAGTTGCGATATATCTTAAATAGCAACAGACATTTTCTTCCATATCCGATTCCACGTTTGCGATTACGCACTGGCCTTAAAGTTATGATGTAACAATAACAAACAGATCTTTTCTCACATATTCTTCCATATGTGATTCCAACTTTACATTTATATACTGGCCTTTAAGTTGCAATGTAACAAATAGCGACAGATTTTTTTTGATTGGATGGAAGCAGATCTGAATGCGAGCTTGCAGCAGATTGTAAGAAAGGTTTTTATGGATGAAATGATTGGACAAGCATGGTGTATGTCAACAGAGAGAAGTCTGTTGTTTGACTGGAAGTTTAAAAACTCAAACGTTGATTCAAATTTACAGGTAAAAAAAATCCAATAAAAAAACAGCATGGATAAATTATTCACAGTAAAATCAGTAACATGCATTTAAAATGGGTGAATTTCCATTTCATACTGGCTTTAAGTACACAACACAGTTACTGTTCAAAACAACCCTCAGTGAGTGAGTCATGAAATTATTTGATAATTTAAGAATCTGTGTTTTTAACTGATCAAGCGGTGTGAGATTTTATGAACCTACATCACTCACTCTGGCCTATTTCAATAAACCCAGTAGGATCAAAACACTAACTTGTTTACACCTATAAAAAAAATGAGCAGTGTTAAATGTTTGCACATGCACACGTATGAGGGAACTGTTAGAGACCAGGAAGTATGTCTTCCTTGAAAAGCAGCAATAAACATCAATTAATAATCATTAAACGGTAGCAGAGGAGATGAGAGAGGCCTGGCATCACATCTTTTCTAAAAATGTAACTTCATTAACAGCCTCGAGAACAAATTACTGCACTTGAATGGCTGCGGCTCACAGACTCCTGTCAGAATCTGCCTGTTCTCAAATCTAATTATAATCACTTTTTACACGGTGCCGAAACCACAAAAAGTGTCTATCTGCATGCAGATTGGAAGGGGAAGTGTTTATAACAGTGTTTGTCATCACCCCGTAATTCAAAACAAGCTATTTATGAGCAATTTCTGGCTGGGATGAAGATATTTCTGCCCTGGTAATTCGATCTATTAAACAAATCAAGGTTTTGCCCTACTGATCAATCAATCTATGACTTTCATGTTATATAGACTGTACTCATAAAAACAAATATTTTAAAACAGAGTAAAACTAAAATCTAGGCCTGGAAACTTAAATTCTCTGATTTTGACAGGTTTTCCATTATTGCAGAGATCCTAAATAGCTGAAACTTAAAGGAAATTCTTGACAGAATTTGAAAGCCAGTTTTGGCCAAATTTGAGAATTTATGTGATGGGGATCTACAAAGTGGACACTCTGTCCTGAAGTGCAGGCTGATGAGTGACCGGTCATCAGAGCTCAGGAAGGGAGGGGGAAAACACTCCATAACAAGCAGAATAATTAAGGAAGAAAAACAAACAAACACAAAACCGATCTCAGGTCAAGTCCAGACATGAACGGCATGAATAATTAGGCACCGGGCCACTGGCCACACTTTCTTTCACACTTAATGAGGTTTTAAAGTTATGATGGAAAACAGGATTGCCTCTGCTCTTGTTCAATACAACAGTTTAGTCTACAACGCAGACACAATGTAACATCAACAATCCAAATCTTTCCATTCAATCGAAACCATAAAAATGGGACATTTAGTTTTGGTTATGTCAACAAAATCATGAGCAGATTAAAGTAATGTTCAAGTTGGGAATAAAGTAGGGCTGCATGATATAACCAAATAAAATCCATATCACAATATTGCTTAGTGTGATAGTGAAGGCTGTAATTTAATCCAATATATGCACTGCTGGTTTCATTGCAACTGAAACATCGTATCATGAGCTGCTTGCGTGTAAATGAACACAGTGCTGCGTTTCAAAGCATATGAACGCTTGATGGTTGAATAAATTAATATGTAAATTATAGTATTATCATTTTACAGTGCACAATAAAGTTAAATTAATATTATTTTTATTTGTTTATATTTATTTATTATTCACTTTATGGTTATTGAAAGAGGTTTGGGCCGGTTCTTATAAAAATGAAACCCCAAGTGTCAATACCAACATTTTTCAAGTATTTCTCCAATAGTTCATTCCTAAAAGGATAGTTCACACTCAAAAAAAAAAAAGTTTACAAAGCAAAACAATTTTTTAGATTTTTTTTCTATGCAGACATGCTCCTTAACAAAATCACCCCAATCATTTAAGAACGATTAATTCTTTCCAAATTCACAGAAAAGTCCTGTATTCTTTTCATATCACAAGATGACAGAAATACAAAATATCGCAGTGCCATTTTTTCCCAACATCCTGCAGCCTTAGTTATAAGGAACTAGTTTAATCTACTATGGATCTGATTCCACTTAACAGTTCTGTAAATTATTTTAGTACTTCAAATAAAGTAGGTTAGCCAATCATAACAGATAATAAACTGATAATTCAGATGGTTTTGATACCTGAGGAGCTGTCACTGCTGGAGGAGGAGTCTGAGTCGCTGGACGAATCCGAGTCACTGTCACTGCTGTCGCTGTCAGATGGGGAATCTGAAGATGAGGAGGAGTCTGAAGAAGAAGAGGAAGAGGAGGAAGAATCAGATGACTCCACTTCCTGATTCTGGGTCATGATCATCTTAGGAGCGTTCTTCAGATGTTCTCTCAACTCATCCCTGAAAGAAAAAAAAAAGTGCAGTAAGCATTTGTTCTCAATAATTGGAGCCGACCCAAAAGGAGAGATTTCACAGGTACGTACGTAAGTCCTCCAAGGCCAATTGATGTGAAGAAATTAATGGCAAATCTCGTGTTCCTCGGGTTGTCACGTGGGAAAAGACCATCGAAGAAAGACTGAAGAGTCCTGAGGAATAAACAAACGATATGGTCCATTAATTAATTATCGATTAACTGTTTTCAATGCAACACAAAGGAAAGCACTTACATGTCCTTCAGTCTCTCATTCAGTTTTGGCAAACCCATGTAAGCACAAAGTTCCTGGAACAAAATCTTCACAAAGATTCGACTGGAGGACGTCGTTGTGTCTTCACTCATTTTAACGCATTCAAGGACCTGAGAGAGCGAGAGAGAAAAAAATAACACTGTTTTACTACATCAGGAAACCAATAATGTGTCTGTCCATATTGATGTGTTGTTGTCTAAAACGTAATTACAGCTTGCGGGATGCATTCGTTTATTAGCCATGTCTAAATGCTGATGTGGTGAACGTAAAGAAAGAAGTAATAAAAGTTACTCACACTCCATGGAATGGAGTCTGTGTAGAGGAGATGAGAAAACATTCGAGCAACATTACGCAATTTGTTGGTTTCAAGCCGGTGGATGGTTTCATACTGTTCCTGGAAGATGGCTTCAAAACTCTCCATATATTCTTTCTTCAGCAGGCAAAACCTCTACATAAAAGATGAAAACATCAGATAAAGAAACAAACACAACTGTTGTGATCTTGCACCAATAGTGCAGATGAGGTGTATGTCACTTTAAATATTCATAAATCTAAAGAGAAAATAAAGCTGCCTTATGTCATGTTGGAATCTATAAATAAATAAACAATTCAATCAAATAATTTTATAAACCATGAATTAAAAAAAAAAACTTTTAACATTTAAACGAAAGTAAATAAATAAATAATCTTATGATAAACACACACACACACACACACATACATATATACAGTGGGGCAAAAAAGTATTTAGTCAGCCACCAATTGTGCAAGTTCTCCCACTTAAAAAGATGAGAGAGGCCTGTAATTTTCAT